CCTAAGCCCCGCCCCCTCACGCGATAACCACGCCCCCTCAATAAACATAGTTTGGTGCCGCCAAGCCCCGCCCACCCCCCGCCCTAGCCCCGCCCCGGAAGGGCTCCCCCGCTCCGCGCTCACTTCCGCTGGGCCGGTGGCAGCGGGCGGCGGCGGAGGCAGGTACGGGCCGGGCCGGGGGCGGTGGGGCCGGGCTGGGCCCAATCGGGGCCGGTGCCTGCTCCAGGCCGCCTCCCCCCTGCACCGCCCTCCCCGGTGGTGGGGGCTCTGATCCCGCGCACCCCGGGCCGGGCTTCTCTCCCGCCGCTGGGCCCGGTTCCGGGCCCTTCCTTCTTCCCCGCCCCGGGTCAGGGCCTCCTCCAGCCCCGCCGTGGGCTCCGCCTCTCCCAGGGCTCTCCCGTAGCTCCGGCTCCGCACACGGGGTCAGCCCCCCTGGGCCCGCTCCTCTCCCTCGGCTCTGCCCCCCGGGACACCGGGTCCTCGCCTCCGCCGGGCGGGCAGAACCTCGTAGTGTCCCCGGCTGGGGTGGCTCCCGGAGCCGGGGGTGGCTGTGGGGACAGTGGGTGGCGTCTTCTCGGGTCCCCGTGGGGCCCAGCCTCCGTGCGACGGTGCCGTGGGTCAGGGCACGGCGAGGCACCGGGTGGGTCTGTGGGAAGAGGTCGGTACCGGGCCCTGCTGAGCCCCGGGATGGGTTGGGAACGGGGCACGGGTGAGACGGGGAGATCCTGCGCTTGCTGCCTCCTCCGTCGAGGGTTTGCTGGGGGGGAACCCCCTAAATTGGATAAAAAAGGAGACCAGGAGTGGCTTCTACCTAAAGGAGACGTGTTACGGAACCAGAGAATCATTCGGGTTTAATTATAGGGTTTGGTTTGGGTTTATTATCGGCCTCCTTGGTCTCTGCAGGTGCTCGATGTGGCAGGGAGTTTGCCAGAGTTACAAAAGCTGTCGGGGGTGCTGTCCCTGGGAGAGGTGGGGGCTTGTGGGGGTTTTGCTGTCTTTGCCCTGGCTTGGGGGGTGCGGGGTGTTAAGGGGGTGTGTCGCAGAAGCAGTTGGTTCAACCTGGGTTTCTGCACCCCCCTCCCCTCCCCAAACCTGGCCCTGGGGGCTGCGGGATGCTTCCCGTGCAGCTCAGGCTGCCGGGCTGAGCAGAGCTGGTACCTGGGGACCCCGAGGGCATTTCCAGAGGTGTTGGTCCTTTCTGGGATCAAGTCAGGCTGGGAGCTCCGTAGCAGGAGGTGCTTGGGCTCAGAGCCCTGCAGAGCCCGGCTTTCCAGGGAGGAGAACATCCCCTCTGCTGTGGGAAGCTGTCAGTGGGGCTGATGCTCATCTGTGTGCCCCAACACCACCAGAATAAGCTCCTCGGTACCTCCGAGGGTGCTCGGCTGGTGTTCCGGGAGGGATATCAGAGGTGGTTTTGCTCCTCAGGGTGATCTCTAATGGCCTCAAGTTGCGCCAGGGGAGGTTCAGGCTGGATATTAGGAAAATTTTTTTCACTGAAAGGGTTCTCAGCCCTTGGAATGGGCTGCCCAGGGAGGTGGTGGAGGCACCATCCCTGGAGGTGTTCAAAAGCCGGGTTGATGTAGTGCTGGGAGGTCTGGTTTAGTGATGATGCTCCTTGTTTGTTGTGTGGGTGACTATTTTTGTCAGTTAAGTTGACAGTTGGACAAGATGATCTTTAAGGTCCCTTCCAACCTAGAAGATTCTGTGATCTCTGGGGTTCTGCTGCTCCAAGTCCCCCCAGAGCCAGCTCTATGGAGCGCCATGCTTTGGGCCCCGCGGTGCTGGGAACCCCCCCGTCCTGCTTCGCCCAGCAGCGTGGGACGCAGGAGACACCCCGGGACTGCCCTGTCTCTGTCTGTGGGCTTTATTCCCCGGTTCCTGCCTGGGGGGCTGTGTCGGTTGCGACTCGTTTGATTTGCATACGGCCGCTCTTCGGCCATCTGGGTTAATTAAGAGCCAGATGCTGGCACTTCGGGGCTTCTGGTGGCTTCAGCGGCGGCTCCACCTTTGGGCCCCGCGGTGCTGGGAACCCCCCCGTCCTGCTTCGCCCAGCAGCGTGGGACGCAGGAGACACCCCGAGACTGCCCTGTCTCTGTCTGTGGGCTTTATTCCCCGGTTCCTGCCTGGGGGGCTGTGTCGGTTGCGACTCGTTTGATTTGCATACGGCCGCTCTTCGGCCATCTGGGTTAATTAAGAGCCAGATGCTGGCACTTCGGGGCTTCTGGTGGCTTCAGCGGCGGCTCCGCAAACGAATGGATCTGCCACCATTTTGGACACCTTGCTAACACCCCAGTAGCCTTTGGTTGTTAAACTGGGGCACCTTAATGGGTTGGTTGGTGGGAAACGGGCCCCCTTGGGAGGTGTGTGGGTCACTCAGTAACTCTGGGTGGCGAGAGGACATGCTGGTTGCCAGCCCCACTGCGTTCACAGCCCTTCCTCTGCACCGCTGTGAATCGGGGCCTTTTCTTTTAGAAGGTGTGGGATGATCTGTGGCACTGGCTGGCTTTGGGGGAGGACACCTTGGGGGGGTATATTTACAGCTTCGGTGGGAGCCACAGGGTCTTGCCAGCCCTCGGGGTTGGGTGGCACGGGGTTGGGTGGCTTCGTGGCTGGGCACAGCCGGATGGGATGGTCCTGGTCCCTTTGGGGAGGTGGGAAGGTTTGGGGACATGACAACAAGCACGTTGCTGGGTGCTGCAGGGCTGAGCATGAGCTTGGACTGGCTCGTTAGGCCAGTTCTTGGGGAAAATATCTTCCTAGGGAGTATGTGTGGGGCTGGTGAGAGTCCTTGGGGCTTTGTGCCAGCTGTGGGGAGAGGTGTGGGGCAGAGGCAGGGACGGGGATGGGAGCTGTGCCCGTGACTACGTGCCGTCTGCAGGATGGGATAACCCATGGCACTTCACTGCTGGGAGTTAGGAGGAAAAAATAATGGGGTTCAGCAGGGGGTTCCTCAGCTGCTGGCTCTTGTATCCCCAACCGCTTGTTCTCCTCTTCTGTGCTTTGGTTTTTATCTTCCCCTGGTGGGGTCTGTGCCTGGTCTGGGGGGTTTATCTGGGGAGTGTGGGGACACGCAGCGCTGCTCAGCTGTGGGGGCTGTCCCTGCCTGTGCCCACCTGGCCTTTTGCCTTGGCCTGATGTTGGTTCCCATCCATGGAGAGGAGTTGTGTGAAGTCCCCACACCTTTGATTACCCCCTCAAGAGTCAGGATTTTTTTCAGCCTGCCTTAAGTTTCTTTAATTACGCCGACTTACTGGGTTTTACTGACCCACCTCCTGCCCTCAAGCGCTTTATTTGCAGCTGCGAGGAGCTGCCTTGCTTGCTCAGAGCTTTCTTTCCCTGCTAACCTTCAGCTGACCCTCTGTTTTCCACATGAGCTGTTTCCTAGAAGCTTGCCCTTTGAATTCCTGCTCCTCTTTGCCTCTCCCTCTGCTTTAGGTGCCAATGTATGTCCCCCTGTGCTCGGGGGACGCACGTTTGTGTGGGGCTGGAGCGGATGCCTCCCCCTGCCTTTGCTTCCTTCCTTCCCTCCCTCCTCAGACCCTCCTGAAGACACACGTCAGGGGGTAGATAAAATTAATTTCGGTCAGTAAACTCCTGTTCTGGGCTGCCACGGAATCTAGAAGGATCAGTGGAGCGACAGCGAGTCCTCTTGCTGTGGTACCCAGGGAGCTGGGGTGTCTCAGGCAGGGTTTAAACACTCCTGGGGTGCTTTGATGGCTCGTTCCTCTGGAAGAGCAGCAGCAGCATTTTCCCTGCATCCCTGCCCAGCTGTCTCCACCATTAGAAGCTGAAAAACTCTCATCAGCGGCATCTCAGCCTTCAAGGATGGAGGAATTGGCCTAAACCAGGGTGGTAAGAGTAGCTGGGGGTCACTAATGAGTTTTTGTCTTCCCTAAGAGGACACAAGTGGCACCAGCAAAGGCTTATTTGGCGTCTATGTTGTCCCCTGGAATCCATTGGCTTCAGCCTCAACGTGCAGCAGAAAATCAGATGCTGTAGGCCATGGTGCTTCTTCCAGCTGGACCATAGGCTCCTTGGTGCTTTGCTGCAGGAGCAAAATCACCTGGTTCAAGCTGGGTCCATCAAGGAAGGTTTCTGTAGCAGGACCCTTCTGCTGTGTGTTGGGTGGATGTGGATGATGTTTTCCACCCCGAGGCAGGTGGAGGAGCAGTGTGGGAGGTAGGGCAGCGTGGCCACCATCAGACCAGGGCTCTCAGGAGAGCAGCATTGCTCTGGGTCTTCTGTAGCTCTTGAATTTACTCATCCTGGGTGAATAAGATCAGGGATTAAACACTTTGGAGAGCCCCTTTCCTCCGAAAAGCTGGTTTGGGGGGGCTGAGCTCCTCACATCTCCATCGCTGAGCCTGGTCAGTGCCACCTGGGAGGTGGGAGGTAGAGGAGGGATGGCTTGATGGCACGTGTCCTGCTTTCACCATCAGTAAGAGCTTTGAGAGGGGGTCTCCCACCGCCCCCTTGGCTGCAGGGCCCACCCCAGAGATGGGTGGGAGCCCTCATGCCCTGGGGATGGCAGGTCCAGGGTCCCAGGGAGGGTGCGGGTTTGTGCCGCTGCAAAGGCTTGTCCTCAAAACAGACCCGAGGAACCCAGACCGGGTGTGGGTGAGCTCTGGGTGCTCCCCTCCGACACCCCGATGCTGCTTTGCTACCAGGTCTCTGCAAACTCGGTTCAAGAGGGACAGGGAACTACTAGAAAGAGTCCAGCGAAGGGCAACAAAGATGATTCAAGGATTGGAGCATCTCCCTTATGAGGAGAGACTGAGAGAGCTGGGGCTCTTTAGTCTGGAGAAGAGAAGGCTGAGGGGAGACCTTATTAATGCTGACAAGTATCTCAAGGGAGGGTTGAAGGAGGAGGGAGCCAGACTCTTTTCAGAGGCTCCCAGTGAGAGGACGAGGGGCAACGGGCACAAGTTGGGACATAAGAGGTTCCACTCAAATATGAGGAGAAACTTCTTCACAGTGAGGGTGACAGAGCCCTGGAACAGGCTGCCCAGGGAGGGTGTGGAGTCCCCTTCTTTGGAGATTTTCAAGACCCACCTGGATGCTCCTGAGTAACATGCTCTAGCTCTAGGCAATCCTGCTTCAGCAGGGGAGTTGGACTAGATGATCTCTATGGTCCCTTCCAACTCTAAAATTCAGTGAAATTCAGTGAAACACTGTACACCCCTGGAATCCAGTCCAGGAGATCGGCTTAAAATAGGTTTGGTGAGAAGATGGGGTAAAATTAGAGCCGCCGTGAGGTTCGGGGGCTTTTTGTCTTCCTCATGGCCTTGCTGCAAATCTCACATCCTGCTTTTTCCGGGTGCTGGTGCTGCTCCCAGCAGATCAGCGAGTGCTGGGACGTTATTCCCAGCCTGGAAAGAAAGGAGTTTGGTGGGAATTGCTGGAAGCACAGGGGGAGCAAATGCCTGCGCTCGGCTCCTGGCTCTGCCGCGCGGTGAGCGCTCGCTGCCACCTCCCTGGAGCAGATGAGCTCCCACCACCCAGTTTTCCTCACCAGGTGGAGGGTGTTTAGCAAGGGCAGGGTGTTTGCAACTCGCAGTGATGACTCTAAACGACCAGATCTGATCAAACAAGGTGATGGAGGCTGCTGGCTCCAGCTCTGACTCCAGAAATCTGCCTTATTTACTGTCAGGCTCCAGTTCAGGAGAGGGGACCCTGCCCCATCCATCCCTTTGCCCCGTTCAGGCTGCACAAAGCCGTGTGTAGCAGGAGATGGGGTAACACCAGAGCTGCTCTGCAGCTCCTGCGCCGTTTCCTTTCCCTTCCTTCAAATTGGAGCCAGGCAGCAGCGTTGGACCCTGCCCAAGGGCTGAGCTCGAGGGAGTTCACCTTCAGCAGGGCTGGTCGCATCCCCGGGCTGGCAGGCAGCCCTGCCTCCTTGCCCTTGGAGCAGGGGGGACGTGCAGGGTGCTGAGCACCCAGGTTTGGCCTCTCATTGCCCCACTTGAGGCTCTGGAGATGTTTCAAGTCTGGTCCTGCAGCCGGGGAGGATGAGGTGTTGGTGTGGGGAGCGAGGGGTGCGCTGGAGGAGGAGCCCAGTTTGCTTGTTTTGCAAAAAAAACCAAAAAAAAAATCCAGTTTGGGTTTGGAGGCTGCTGTGGGGCTTAAAAGGGTGGGGGAGATGGGTGGCCCTCTCTGTCTCTGAAATGACTTGGGTTTTTGGATGGCTGAACCACCCAACTGCAGTGCCTGGGGGCTGAGGGAAGCTGCAGGAAAGCCAGCCGGGGTGATTCATGTGGCTGAGGAGGCTGCAGAAATTCCCTGGTAGGGCTTCGAGTTTGCTTTCCAGGCAGTTCTGCAGAGCAGGGCTGAGCGGGAGCCAGGTCAGGGAAATCAGAGGGACTGCGGTAAATCCTCCTCCTTCCTCCCCAATCTTCCTCTCCCTCTCTCTCTCTCTCAGGCCGGAGCTGCAGTCAGGCGCAGAGAGCTGCTGCGGCACAGCCTGGGAGCTCCCGCTGTTCGCTGGAGAGCCGGCCACCCAGGGGGGGAAAAAAGGCTCTGACTAAATCCCAGGTAACCAGAAAAAAGGCTCTGAATAAATCCCAGGTAACCAAAACAAGGAGAGGAGTGTCGTGGCTCACACCAGGACGTTCTCCCACCCTTGGTGGGGCGGGGGGAACACGCTGGCAGACCCACCCCCTCTGTAACAGCACGGGGACTGCGCTGCCGACACCCACACCGAGCCCCAACCAAACTGATGTCAAATCCTTTGGTTTGTGGTTTTTTTTTTTTTTTTTCCTCTTACTGCCCGCCAAGCTGGCTCTGCCTGTGTGCTCTGCCCGGCGGGCTCAGCCCCCAGATTTTATCCAGATTTTCTTTTTATCCCTGTTGGAGATCCCTATCCAGCTTGGAGAGGGAACAGAGGACGCAGTTTCTCTGGCCCCATCTCCTCTGCTCGCCGGGGATTGCTGCATTTGGCTTTCAAGATGCTCATTTACATTTTGAAACCATTTGTAAGCTTTTTTTTTCTTTTTTTTTTTTTTTTTCCTGACTTGGCTTTGCTTTCCCTGCTCCTGCCCCTCCAAAGCAGCAAGGCCACTGCAGGGTTTCAAGGACGATTCTCTGGTTTCTCTGCCGTTGAGGGAAAGATGGGTGAAACGGCCGTAAAAAAAAAAAAAGACAAATCCCCCGCTGACCTTGAAGAAGGGCTCTCTGCTGCCTTGCACGTCGGGTGTCCCCAGCCTGCCAAGCTGTAAATCTGCCCTGAACTGCCTGAATTGTATAATATAGCCCCAAGTGCTGGGCGGGAAACCTCAGAAATGTTAAATTTAAAGCCACACTGCCGGAGCAGGGCTGCTTTCTGTCAGAGGCTCCTTTTGATGCCTGGCTGGGCGCTGGCAGCCTCCTGCCCCCCTCCTTGCTCTGGGTTTTGCTCCGTTCCTCTTCCCACCCCAGAGCTCTTCCCTGTGTGGGTGCGAGGGAGGGCTGGGGGGGGAATTTTCCCTAGAAAAGTGGTTTTTTTGGGTGAGGGGATGTGAACCTGGGGGAAGGTCACTGAGCCCTTGTGGGGGCTGCCCCAGCTCCCTATGGGATGGGGTGAGCAAAGTGGCTGCTACTGGTGAGAGAAGCAGATCGGGGCTGGAGCCTGAGCAGGGGTGAAGGCTGGTGTTTTCAGTGACTGCTTTCCTCCTCCTCCTCCTCCTCCACATCCTTGTTGGTGAACCAGCTGATTCCCCACTCATCAGCAGAGCCCGTGGTGTGGCTGCGAGGCGCTCACCCTCCCCTGGAGAACGGGCTCCTCCGGGCACTTCATCTCCTTGTGATGCTTCCCATGAGATCCCAAGCTCTTTCTCTCCTCTGGCTTTTCCATCCTGGATCTCTCCATTAGTGACCCCAGCCAGGAAGTTGTCCACCCTTAACCTCTCTTGTCTGCCTCCCCCAGGGACCTGCCGCTAGCTGGAGACCACCATGACGGACTCAAAGTACTTCACCACCACGAAGAAAGGTAAGGGAGAGGGACGGGGAGGCTCCCACAATTTTTTCTACAGGTTGTCCCTGCAGCTGGAAGCTGGTGGAGGATCCAGCTCTCATGGGAATGCCCTGAACCCACGTAGGATGACACCCTGCTCCTTGCTCTGATGCAGCTAAGGTGGCTCCTGGGGTACCACGGGGGTCAGAGCACCTTGTCACCAGCCCCCTGAACCCAGACAAGGCTGTTGGCAACTGGGTTATGGGCTTTAGCAGCTCAGAAGTTCTGGTGGCCCCCTGGGCTGGGATGGAAGCCCTTGGGGTGTTCAGCTTAAGCTCTTTGCAGACCAAGGAATGAATACAGAGGGAAGCCATGTGGCATCTTCCTCTTCAACCTGCTTGCCCAGGAGTGAGCAAAGAGCTCAAGGTGGGAGCCATTGCCTTTGGGCTGGGTCCAGAGCTGACTGGTCTCCTCCAGCAAGGTGCTGGGCCAGAGGGGGTGGTGCTGCCACATGCAGAGTGGGGTTTGGGAGCCACCATCCTTTGTACAGCCTTGAGGAGCAGCTCCCAAAATCCCCCTGCGTTGGCTGCTAGGGGTGCCTGCTGTCATCTGGGCGGCAGTGGGCTCTGCAGGGAGGGGAGGGTTCTCCCAACAGCCATGTGTGGGGCTGGGACTTCACTGTGTGCTGTGATAAACCACCCCCCCAGCCAAAAATACCCGCTGCATAAACCCCACATCCTCTGCTTGAGGTGTGAGGTTCTCCTGCTCATCATTCCTGCGGCATCTCTCATCCCTAAAGCCCTCTAGGGCTGGAGAAGCTGCAGGGATGCACCATCTCCATTTCCATGGATGAACGCTGAGCCCCCAGAGTGGCCCTGACTCTCAGTTAAATCCCCTTTTCCAGCTCCTGGAGCACCCAGGGTGGCAAAGGAAGCCCTGGCATGCAGCGGGTGGGAGCTGGGCTCACCCTCCCCTGGGAGCAGCACCCAGTGGGGGCAGTGAGTGCCCCATCCCCTAACCCCTGAGCTCTCTGTTTTCACCTTCCTCCAGGGGAGATATTTGAGCTGAAAGCTGAACTCAACAGCGACAAGAAGGAGAAGAAGAAGGAGGCTGTGAAGAAGGTGATAGCGTCCATGACTGTTGGCAAAGATGTCAGGTGGGTGGCAGTGCTGTCCCGGGGGCCAAACCGTGCCGGGAGGGTGCCTGGATGGATTGTGGGCTCCCATTTTCCCCCAGGGTTTTTTGTGGGGATTTTCATAGAGTCGTAGAATTGTCTGGGTTGGAGGGAACCTTTCAGATCATCGAGTCCAACCATCAACCCAACACTGACAAACTCACCACTAACCCGTGTCCCTCAGCACCACATCTGCCCGGCTTTTAAATCCCTCCAGGGATGGGGACTCCACCACTGCCCTGGGCAGCCTCTTCCAATGTTTGGCAACCCTTTTGGTGAAGAAAGTTTTCCTTCTATCCATCCTAAACCTCCCCTGGTGCAACTTGAGGCCATTTCCTCTTGTCCCATCGCCTGTGACTTGGGAGAAGAGACCGACCCCCCCTGGCTACCCCCTCCTTTCAGGGAGTTGGAGAGAGCCAGAAGGTCTCCCCTCAGCCTCCTCTTCTCCAGGCTCAACACCCCCAGCTCCCTCAGCCTCTCCTCACAAGACTTGTGCTCCAGACCCCTCCCCATCTTTGTTGCCCTTCTCTGGACCCGCTCCAGCCCCTCAATGTCATTTTTGTGGTGAGGGGCCCAAAACTGGACCCAGCCCTCGAGGCGGGGCCTCAGCAGTGCCCAGTCCAGGGGGACTGTCATTGCCCCAGTCCTGCTGGCCATGCTGTTCTTGATACAGGCCAGGATGCTGTTGGCCACCTGGGAAGGCCACCTTTTTTTTGTCTGGGGCAAGGACTGAGCGAGCTCCTGGCCACAGCTCTGCCTCCTGCGGCGGGAGGGAGATGTTTGTGTGAGCGTGGCCGTCTGGCGGGCGGGGGTTTGCCTGCCTTTGGTGGTAATCTGGCTGAAAGAGGATTGCTCTGGCCGCCAGATAAGTTTGTTGGGATTATTGCCACTTCCTCCAGGTGTTACTAAAACTAAGCAGAAACCCTCCCCGAGCCTTTACGGCAGGGGGTCCTCGTTTCCCCCTCAGCGTCGTTAAGCCTTTTGCAGCCATTCCAGTCCAAAAGGATGAGTGGATGCTTTTCCCTCTTCTCCTTTATCTGTCTGACTGAGCAGTGTGTGGCCCCTCTGTCCCCTCCTCCCCGCACCATCCCATCCCTGCACACCCTTGGTGACACCAGCGCTTTGCTTTTAATGGTGCGTTTTGAGAGTAGATGGAGGAAAACCCCCGTCTGAGCTCTGTATTTGGAAAACCCGTGTCTCCCCAGCTCCCAGAGCGCTCACAGCTCTTGGGGCCACCATGGAGAAGGTGACACTGGACATGGCAGGGACTTGCCTGAGGCTGGTCAGCGCCTGGCAGAAGCTACATCGATTGGAAAGGAAATACCGGCTGCGGCAGCCCGTTTTTTGGGGGGGGTCTGTGCATTTTTTGGCTGCAGGAAAGCACTAAGCACTGCAGGAAAGCACTACTAAGCTCAGCCCTCCCTGGGAGGTGCCTGGTTTAGCCTGGGGTGAGAGCAGTGGAGGTGGGTGACAGCAGGAGCTCTGCCAGGGAACCAGCAAAGCGCCTGCCCCCTGGGCTCTGGGGTGGGCTGGGTCTGATCCTGTAAGAGGTGGCTGGGTGGAAGAGAAGCTTCCAGGAGGAAAGGGACATCTGTCGGGGTGGGATAACTCCCACATTAGCCCTCTGATCTTGATTGCCTCTCCTAAAGTGGTGTGATAGTCTAATTGGGCTGTCTGTGTCATTAATAGTCCAATTGGGCTGTCTTTATCGTCTGTGGTCTCTGGCATCCCGCAGCTCTAGGGTGTTTGGGGAGGAGTAGCCCCCTCCACAGCTCCACGAAGGCAGCTCTGATCCATCCTGGCAGAGCATCATAGTGCTGCAGGGCTCACCTGGGGGGAGTGGGGCTGCTCCTTAAACCTAGTCCTGGCTGTTCCCTTCTCTAATGTCATGTTTCCAGCACAGGACGTGGGGCGGGCGCTCAGCGGTTTATGGCAGGACAGGTTTGATGTCTGCAAAAGCAGAGGGTGGTTTGGATAGAGCTGTGCAGGAGGGATTGGGCAGAAGGTGAGGGGGAAACGGCTCAGAGAATCCCAGACTGGTTTGGGTTGGAAGGAACCTTAAAGCCCCCCCAGTGCCACCCCCTGCCCTGGGCAGGGACACCTCCCACCACACCAGGTTGATCCAAGCCCCCTCCAACCTGCCCTTGAACCCCTCCAGGGATGGGGCAGCCACAGCTTCTCGGGGCAACCTGGGCCAGGCTCTCACCACCCTCACACCAAACAAGTTCTTCCCCACATCTCAGCTCCATCTCCCCTCTTGCAGGGTCAAACCCTTCCCCCTCCTCCTGTCATCTCCCACATCCTCTCACAGGCACCAGAGGCTTTCACACCATCCTGTGTCACCTTCTCCTGGGGCAGGGGACACCCACTGGAGCTGGGATGCAGCGGAGCCATGTGGGAGAGCTCAGTTTCTGCCCATTAGGGACTGGTTTGAGCTGCTTTTGAGAGAGCTGTAAAGAAACCCCCGCTGGGGATGGGTGATTTAGCCACATCATTCACCCTCTCCCCACCTGAGCTGCTCTTGGCCCTGGGGTTTTGCTGTTCAGTGCTTTCTCCCTCACCACCACCATCATCCCTTCTGGGTTTTTTTGTGTCTCAACACATTTTTCCACAGCGGTTTCAGCGGGGGGCTGAAGAAAGGTGCCCCATTTCCCTATTGCCATCATCTCCTCTTCTCTCCTGGCCTTTTTCCTTCCTCCCCAGGAGCTGCCATTGCCTTCTCCTCACCCCATTTCCCCAAGACCTTGCAGAGTGGGCTCCCGTCGTGGGAGAACTTTGGATCTTCTGGCTTCAGGAGTGGGTTGAGCTGTGGGAAGGGGACAGCTGTGCTCCTGGGGGGGTGTCCCGTGGCAGTGGGGTCTCCTTCCCCTGGCTCAGCCCTCCTTTGTGTTTCAGCGCGCTCTTCCCGGACGTGGTGAACTGCATGCAGACAGACAACCTGGAGCTGAAGAAGCTGGTCTACCTCTACCTGATGAACTACGCCAAGAGCCAGCCGGACATGGCCATCATGGCAGTCAACACCTTCGTGAAGGTGAGAGGCGAGGGCTGCACACCCAAGAGCTGGGCTCCGAAGAAAGGACCTTGGGCAGGTTTCCAAAGCCTCTCCCTTCAGGAGCAGGAGCTCCCCTAGCTCTAGGTGACCAAGCCAATTTGTCCAGTCATGCAGAATTCAAACCATTTTCCTGGCAGCTGTGCTGTGCCACTCGCTGTCTCAGTGGCAGCTTGGGTTGTGGGCAGCTCCCAGGATGGAAGGACCATCATGTGAGCTGACGCCCTGAAGTCTCTGCAGCCCTCGTGAGCTTTCGAGTTGGAGTTGGGGAACTAAAGAGCGTGTGTGTTAGGAGCCAAGATGTTGCCAGATCACTTTGTGAAAGGGCTTGGTGGGCATTAAGAGGGAGTTCTGGCTTTTTAGGCAGGAAAAAATAAACCCCATGCAATAAACCCGAGAGATGCCTTTCCCAGGTCAGGTGGCCGTTTTGCTGGGTGGCAGCTGCCTTCAGATACTTGGTTTAAGTGACAAGCCATCAGCTTCCTGGAGGTGTGTTTGGAGTGATGGTGTGAAAACTCTGTGGGTGCCAGATTGCAGAAGGAGAAATCAAAGCTCTCTCTCTCTTGGGTGACTTGTTCTTGAGAGCCGAGTGTTAAAACCTTCACAGTGAGGGTGCCAGAGCCCTGGAACAGGCTGCCCAGGGAGATTGTGGAGTCCCCTTCTTTGGAGATTTTCAAGACCCGCCTGGATGCTCCTGAGTAACATGCTCTAGCTCTAGGCAATCCTGCTTCAGCAGGGGAGTTGGACTAGATGATCTCTATGGTCCCTTCCAACTCTAAAATTCAGTGAAACCTCTAGACTTCAGGAACCCAAAGGAGAACGGAGGTCCCGAAGCCACCTGTGATTCAAAGAGAAGAGACCCTGGAAACCTAACCTCCTCCTCCTCTCATCCCTGCAGGACTGTGAGGACCCAAACCCTCTGATCCGGGCTCTGGCTGTGCGGACCATGGGCTGCATCCGTGTGGACAAGATCACGGAGTATCTGTGCGAGCCCCTGCGGAAGTGCCTGAAGGACGAGGACCCGTACGTGCGCAAGACGGCAGCCGTCTGCGTGGCGAAGCTCCACGACATCAACGCCCAGCTGGTGGAGGACCAGGGCTTCCTGGACACCCTTAAGGACCTCATCTCGGACTCCAACCCCATGGTGATTATTTTTTGCCTTCCCCATCCTCTTTTTCTCTTCATCTGAATGACGGTAAATGCTCTCCCTTCATCTTCACATGCTGACTTCTTTCCTCTCTTGCTCCCTTTCGCTCTCTTCTTGGTGCTTAACAGACCATTTTTGGGGACAGCTGTTTCTGAGGGTTGCAGGCTGTGTTCCTTCCTTGGATGGAAAGTATCTCCAGTTCCTTGGCAGTGTGTTATTAATGTTCCCAGTGTGGAGGAGGTGGCCCTGGCCAGCTCAGAGCAGGGGATGGTGGCAGAGGGGAGCCAATGCTTGGCTCTGGTACCACGTAGCTGGTGGCTTTCGCTTCTGGGGAGGGTTTTCTAGCAGCTGGGCTTTGGGCAGCATTAGTCTCTCTGCTTTTCACCAAGCATAAGAAATTTTAAAGCCTGCTTTCCCCAGGATTTCTCTTCCCCCAGCCTTTACTGCTCTTCTGACCTTGCCGTGGGCATAGTGATGAGCCTGGGATCTGCCACAGAAAGCCACGGGGCTTCTCCGAGCTGCCCTGAGAAGGGGAGAGGGAGCAGGTTCCTCTGTGCTGGGCACGGGGCCAAGGATGACTCCCAGTGAAGATGTGGGAGGTGCTGGAGATGTGGCGTGGGTGGTGGGACCGTGCTGGCGGTGATTGCTCATCTCCTGAGGATCAGCTGGTGGGGAGGGAGGGAGAAGCTGATGCCCAGATGTCACTGGGATGTGAGATGCTGATATTGAGGATGCAGCTCATCCATTTTCACCAGCTTTCCCCCCCCAGGCTGCTGAAGCACGTTTGCTGTCACCTAACACGTGTCCTGTCCCCTCTGGCAGGTAGTGGCCAATGCAGTAGCAGCTCTGTCGGAAATAGCGGAGTCTCACCCAAGCAGTAACCTCCTGGACCTCAACCCCCAGTCCATCAACAAGCTGCTCACGGCCTTGAACGAGTGCACGGAGTGGGGCCAGATCTTCATCCTGGACTGCCTGGCCAACTACATGCCCAAGGATGATCGGGAGGCCCAGAGGTGAGGGAGGCTCTGGGTACTTCTAGGGCAATGATGGCTTCAGGGCACCACGGACCGGCTGGGGAGGGAGACAGATGGGTATGGACACTGTTCTCCAAATATCTTCATCCTCCTGACCTGCTGTGGGAGGTGGGACAGTGGGCACCTTCAGGCCACCATGCCTCGGGCACAGCCACCTGGGGACTGCCGTGGTCCCATAGTGAGCCATGTCCCCTCACTGGCATGGGGATTGCGCTTCCAGAGCCTCTTTAAAACATGGCTTGACCGTGCAGCCGGGCAGGATGGGCACCAGGGAGCTTGGAAAGGGGGTCATGGCCACAGGGTTTTGTAAAGGCTGGGAAATAACCATCACTGGGGTGTTTAAGAGCCAGTCCAGCATCTCTTGGGAAGGTCTTGAGTGCTGCTCAGCTGTCTCCTGCTCCAAACCCTGCCAGTGCTGCCTTCTTCATTGTCCCCCTGTACTCGGCACTGGTGAGGCCTCACCTTGAGTACTGTGTCCAGTTTTGGGCCCCCTACCATAAAAAAGACATTGAGGTGCTGGAGCGGGTCCAGAGAAGGGCGACAAAGATGGTGAGGGGTCTGGAGAGTAAGTCTTATGAGGAGAGGCTGAGGGAGCTGGGGGTGTTCAGCCTGGAGAAGAGGAGGCTGAGGGGAGACCTTATTGCTCTCTACAACTCCCTGAAAGGAGGGTGTAGAGAGGTGGGGGTCGGTCTCTTCTCCCAAGGAACAGG